CCTGAGTGAGACAGGGGCGCGGTCCCCGGGGGGGTGCGGCTTTACCTTGAGGATGAACCCGTCGGGGCAGAGGCGCTCGTACTTGTACACCTTGTAGACAACCAGGAAGACGACGCAGGTGAGGAAGGCCAGGGCGATGAAGACCAGCACGGAGACCTGCGGGCAGGGCGGGCGTCAGGGCGGCCGGGGGGCCATGGGCCGGGCAGACAGATGCACACATGGGTGTCTCTCATACACACACACACACACACACACACACACACACGCAGGCACACACACACGCAGGCACAGAGACAGTCACAATCACACACAATCTCACGCACACAGACACTCACACCAGCGTGTGCAGAGCCGTCTCGGAAGGAGGTCAGCAGAATCACTTTTCACTGGACAACTTTTCATACCACTTTCATTTCCACCAGACCCATGTGTCACCTTCATTTTGTAAATTAGCTATTTTTAGCATTCCAGGCCCTTCCTTGAGAGCTGCAGGCACAAATATGATTAAGCCTCATGGACACTCAGACACGTGATAGATGGTTGCCCGTCTGACTGCCGCCATCACCAGGTGACAGCAGCAGCCACCCGCTCATCAGCTGTCCTCAAACGTCTCCTGAGGCCTGGCCTGGCCGCCGCCCGTGCCCTTGAGCAGGACCAGTGAGCAGGAGCAGCCCCGGGCCCCACCCCTCTGACCTCCCCAGTGTCCCTGCCTGCTCGGTCAGTGTCTGTCCCCATCACAGAGGCCAGTCTCCAGAGCAAGGACACGGCTTCCTTCCCTGCTGCAAGCCGAGTGCCCAGCCCGGCACATAGTATATGCTCAGCTAACGTTTGCAGATAAATGTACACGGCGTGTGGGAAGAGCACAGAGGTGGAAGGTCCTGCCCCAGCTGGGGGACGTGGGGCCTGGGGGACAACATGACCCTGACCCTGTGCCTGGCACTGGGAGACTGACAGGATGGAGCTGGGGCTGGGTCAGGGGAAGTGCCATCCAATTCCGGGGGCAGGGACACAGCCACCTGGCCCCGGGCAGCCCAGGGAGACTGCAGAGGGAGCTGAGCATGAGGCTGGGTGACAAAGGAGGTCAAGTTGTCCAGAAATGGGAGGGGCAGTGGCCCCAGGGGCATGTAGCCCCAGAGGGAGCAGCAGGCAGGTTCAGGTCTTTCCAACAAGAGCAGGAACCCTACAGGCCAGGTGCTCAGAGGGGCGAGGTAGAAACTCAGCCCCTGCAGCCAGGCTCCGGTCGCTCAGCTCCTCTGGGCTGGGGCTCCTGCCTGCCAATGGCTGGGAGAGGACCCAGCTCCCAGACTGGTGGGAGGACCAAGGGCCCAATGCACACCGCTGAGGCCAGCACCTGGGCTGCTGAATGCTGCAAAGGAGGGAGGAGGAAGGAGGCGTTTGCTCTTGCACTGCAGCTGTCACCTGTCTTTCCCGCGCTCACTCGGGGAGGTGCAGAGCTGGGCTCTCAGTGCCGGCCACACAGCCTCCCCCAAGCCTGCCACCCACCCCACCCGAGCCCCCTCCCACACTCACTCCCTGCGGCTGCTCACCAGAATCTGCCCTGCCGGGGACCCAGCCCCTGCTGCAGCCCTCGGGGCCATGAGGCAGCTTCAGGGGGTCCCCACAGACTAGAGCAGCAGGGCTGCCTCACCTGGGTCTGTCACCAGAGCTGTACTGTAAGTACCTCCTTCGTAACCTTTATGTTTTGGGTGTTAGTGAGCACCATTACAAAAAGGCCTGTGGCACGTGACAAGTTAAGCCCCGTGAGAACACAATCTCAACAAAATCTTAGCAAAGTGAATTCAGCAGCACATTCCACCAATCGTGCACCACGGTGACGGTGACGTAGGATGCCCTCCAGGAATGCAAGGATGGCTCAACACCCACAAGCCGGCCACTATGACAGAGCCCGGTGACAAAACCGAGGATAAAACAGACGGTCATCTCAACGGACGCAGAAAAAACACCCGACAAAAGCCAGCAAAGGGGGTACAGAGGACACACCTCAAGATAAGAATAACGGTCATCTAGGTCGTGCCCACAGCTGGCATCAGACTCAACCGTGAAAAGCTAAGGGCTTTTCCTCTGCGGGCAGGACCAAGACAGGATGCCCCTCTGGCCCTCTTACTCAACACAGCATTGCAAGTCCCAGCCAGAGCAACTGGGCAAGAAAAGGAAGTGAAGGCCTCCCAACTGGAAAGGAGGAAGTACAGCTATTTGCAGATGACATGACATTATACACAGAACCCCTAAAGACTCCCCCAAAGCACTGTTAGAATTCCTCAACCATTCAGCTAAGTCGCAGAACACAAGTAGATGGGGTCGAAGGCACAAACTTCCCTACAGGTGTCTCGCACTTTCTGAGGGTCCGCGTTACACCACTCGGCTTTTACAAAAGACCTGCATCCGTGCCTGTGCTCAGGACGGAAAGCGATCGGAAGGGGATTCACTTCCATGAGCAGAGGGGGAAAGCAGAAAAAGCGCTGCGTCCGTTTTGCAGCGGGCCAGGACGCAGGCCCTACACACACACACACACACCCGCCCCATGCAGCAAGAGGGCCCGCGAGCTCCTCCCCCAGAACCACGCCAGCGTCTCGGCATCCAGCCCTCGAGCTGGAGCTGACTGCGCAGCCGGGCTTCAGCTCCACGCGCTCTGTGCGTCTGCCAGCAGCTGCGGCTGAGCTGTCAGAAAGCCCACGCTCCTCGGGGTGTTACGCGCAGCATAAAACGGAATGTGACCAGGCACTGCAAGCGCCATGAACGAAATGAAGACACTGCGTGTGCCTTGAATTTGGGGTCTTGGGAACGCTCACGAGTTGTCCATATAAGTTCACAGTAATCGCCTCTTTGCTTTAGGCCGTTCCAGCTCACAGGCGGCTCCACATTAACCTGTGCTTTCAGATCGTGGGGGACACTGGCACGCGTCCCGGGGAGGTGACGTGCAGATGGGGACATAGTGACAACACTGCACTGTGTGCCTGCAGGTCGCTGAGAGAGTAGATCTTAAAAGTTCTCGTCACAAGAAAAAAAAGTGAGGTGACGGATGTTCACTAGACTTACCGTGGTGACCACTGCAGTGTATACAACACTGAACCCTGTGGGCACTTCTGAGCTGAGAGAATGCTTCATGTCGATCCCATCTCAACCTCAAACCACACAGAATCCCATCTCCAGTCCTGGGGGGGCATCCTCAAACCTGATCGGGAACTTGGGAGCCTTGTCAGAGTTCGGTTCGGGCACCCCATCTGTTTAGATTTAAAAATAGCTGGAGCTGACCCAGCCGGTGTGGCTCAGTGGTTGATCATCGACCTATGAACCAGGTCACAGTTCTATTCCCGGTCAGGGCACATGCCTGGGTTGCAGGCTCGGTCCCCAGTGTGGGGTGTGCAGGAGGCAGCCCATCAATGATTCTTTCTCATCACTGATGTTCCTCTCTCTCTCTTTCTCTCTCTCTCTTTCTCCTCCCTCTGAAAGCAATAAAAATATTTTTAAAATAAGAAAAATAGCCCTACCTGGTTTGGCTCAGTGGATAGAGCATCGGCCTGTGGACTGAAGGGTCCCGGGTTCAATTTCCCCTCAGGGGCATGTACCTTGGTTGTGGGCATATTTCCAGTGGGGGGGGTGCAGGAGGCAGCTGATCGATGTTTCTCTCTCATCAATGTTTCTACCTCTCTATCGCTCTTTCTCTCCCTTCCTCTCTGTAAAAAAATCAATAAAATATAAAACAAACTAATAATAATAATAATAAAAATAACCCCAGCTCTCCCCACGGGCTGTCAGGAACCACTTCCTGGGCCTGAGCCTTCCATCCGGGATCCCAGGCCTCAGGGCCCAGGAGCTCACGGAGCTGAGAAGTCAGAGTGGGACAGTCCCCAGAACAGGCAAGGGAGAGGGCAAGGAAATACATCCTGGAGTCCGCAGGAGGCAGCGGCGGGCACAGCCCTTCCCTGCAGCCGGTGCCCTCGCTCCCCCTCACTCTGCAAACCCCAGGACCTAGGGAGCTCACGGTGGGAGGAGGGCGTGGAGTCCCCGTGTGGCTACCATGGCCCGAGGAGAGGGCCACGGGCCTCTTCAGGAGCCCCAGGGCTCAGCCCTGGCTCCCGACTCTGCCACCCGCCACCTGCTAGGCGAGTGACAGCAGGTGGCCCGCACACCTCACCTCCACGAGGGGAGCGCCTCTCGCTCTTACACGTGTATCAGGAGGATGACAGGGGTGGACAGCATGTATCGGGAGAACTGTGTTCCCCCCGAATCACAGGAGTCCTACCCAGGCACCTGTGCCTGACTTTATTTGGACATGGGGTCTTTGCAGCTGTGATGAAGTTGAGGTTTTCAGGGTGGGCCTAACCCACAGCTTTAAACCGCCCCGCAGTGCAGGGCACAGGGAGGGTCCACCGTGCATGTGTCAGACGCATCCTTGCCTGAGGCACTACACATGGGACTGCACATGCAAAGGAAACCAGCTGTCCTGAGCCCGTCCTCACCCTCCACAAAGCCAGTCCCCGGGTCAGGATTCGAAACACGCACGTCCTCGGTCAAATGACCTTCCGTTCGGGGGCCCAGCCCGCCCGATGGGGCTGAGCAGCCTCCTCCACAGATGGCGTGGGGACAACTGGGTATCTTCGTGCAGAAGAATGACACTGGCCCCTCCCCTCCCACCACACACGGAATAAAGCCCCGAATCTGAAAGCTAAAGCCATGAAACTCTTAGGAAAAAAACGTAAGAATTAAATCTTCACGACCATGGATTTGGTGCCTCAGACATGACACCCGAAGCACACACAACAACAAACGTAAGTCAATGTGCTCCCCCCGGATTAAGCAGCTGTGTGCACGGATGAACCGTGGCAAGCCAGGGCGAGGACGCCCACCGACGGCAGAGGACGTGCCACGGGGTTCGGGTCCGTGTCCAGACCTACGAGGAGCTCCCACAGCTCAGCCCGCAGACAACCGGCAGGGGCCAGAGCTGGTGGGCTCGGTGTTGGAGGGACTGGGTCCCAGTCTACTTCCACCCTGGCTGCTCCTTGACCACTCGGACCGTAATCCCCTACAACAGTGGTTCTCAATCTTCTGGCCCTTTAACTACAGTTCCTCATGTGGTGACCCAGCCATAAGATTATTTTTGTTGCTACTTCATCACTGTAATGTTGCTACTGTTATG